AATAGCATAGATTCAAGACAACAAAGCCAGATTTCTTCAATAAAATTAGCAAGGATTCAACATTGATTATTCCAATATTCACACACAAAAAAAAAAAATCAAGTTCTCTTTATCAAGATGTGCAACACCAGAAATTTATGGGTTACTTATTCAGAAATTTATAAATAAGAGTTTATACAAATAAGAAATTCAAGAATGGGTTTCAACATATAGTTATTCAAAGAATTGGATAAGCAAAAATATATAAAGCTAGTTTGGAGAGGGGTTGAACTAGCACAAACTGAAATCGGCAAACTAAGGCCGAGATCCGTAGAGCCAGCGCCAGGGACAGCCAAGACAAGTCGGCAGCAGTGCGTATAGCTTAGACAAGCAGTATGTGAGAAGGGTGCTAGGCGGACCAACGACGTGTTGCAGGGGCGACGTGGTCGGCACTAGCAGGTCGCGTCTGACAGAAGCAGCGATGTCACAGGAGTTGTACATGAGGCTCGCAAGCTGCGCGAGTTGGGTGGTCGTGTGCAAAGAGCAGTGTCGCGGCTGACTCTCGCGTAGGCCGTCGACGGTGGTCTGCGTGGTCTTCGGTGATTGTCGCGTAAGTAATGTGCGCGTGAGCTGACTGTATTCAGGATAGAGTGGACGACGACGGCGCCCGGAGTTACACAACGAGCAATAAGCAAGCGATGGCGGCCCTGTGGGGTTACAGATTACATATTGTTCTTGAAGAAAAAGCTAGGTTGGTCTTGTTCAAGAAGAAGAAAAGCTGGGTTAAAGAAAGAAAGAAAGAGGAAGGTTGATTGATTTCGGCGGCTCATCAAAAAGAAAAGTTTGTGAGATTTAGGGTTTTGAGCCATCTCTTTAAATAGAATAAAAAAAAAAAGGTGTGATATATGGAATTCTTATTTCCAAGCAGATTGTTCTGAATGTATATATGCATATATATAAGAGACCAACCTATTTCCAAGCCCAAAAAGAAAAAAAAAAATTGATTTCTTATCTTAATTCTTATTTCTTTTACTTGGAGTAAAAAAAAAAGTTTTGTATTTTTCAATACTTGGAGAAGTGAAAAAAAAAAAAAAAAAAAAGACAAAAAAAATAAAATTTTTCATTGTCAAACACTTTCTAGTCTTCAATTTTACATAAGTGCTGCATACAGGAGCTGGTTCCAAGTATCAGGCAGTCCGGGGAGGCACCAGTGGCTGCAGTCGGTGCCAGAGTGGTCGCCGCTATAAGCTGACGGGTGAGCATCTTTTCTCAACTGTGAAAGTGTTGTGATGTCTAGAAGATAGACTGGTTTCTTGACTCTGCTCAACACTTTGTTGACAACAATGGCAGCCGGAGGTATGCCAGCCGGGTAAGTCGAGCCAGTGAATGGTAAGTGCTCTCCCATGCAGTTCTTTGATCCTGACTTCCATTCTTTTCCCCTGTTTTTTTTCATTGACAATAGGTTTTGATTGTTAACTGCTTAGCACAGGACCAGATTTGTAGTGTGTGGAGTGTTGTGAAATTCAAGTCTGAATCATGATGACTAGAGTGAAATGCAGGTCAATATGAGTGGCCAACAAGTTTTGAACCTCTAGACTATTGAGAATCTCATTATTAGCAATAAAATTTTTGTGGCAATGTTATTCAAGCATTTAGTTTCGTTAGGAATTATCAGTGGAAAATTAATAAAAATTTACATATTGTGAGCCAATTATTAATTTTTACTCTTAAATGACTAATATTTTCTCTTGGAACATTAGATTCCTATGGGAAAGTGGGGAAATTGTACTCCTATTTAGTTTAAGAATGTGATTCTTGCTGAAATAGATAATCATGAATTACTTTTCTATTCTAATCTACTCAAAAAACTAGAATCACGGACACCCGAAATCATATTCTCATTCCCTCTCAAAATTCCTATTATTCAAACTTAGCTATGATTAATTACAATAATGCTATAATCATATAAACTTTTCACAAGATCACATTCAAAATTATACAGTGTTGTTAAACACAAATTTTCACAAGTCTCCATCTAGGATGCCTCGGACAAGGTGGTTAGAGAGAATATCCCCCATGTGCCTTGCACATGGGCTCCATCCTACATCATGAGGTGCCTATAAATAGCACCCACCCATAGCTTTACAAGGGAGGGATTTTGGAGATTTTTGAATTCTTGGGAAAGAACTAATTTCCCTTCTCCATTATCAACCTTGAGAGTGAAAGTGGGAGATCCATGGGAGAGCCTTGCCATTATTCTATTCTCTAGCCATTTTGCCTTCTTCTTCACCCAATCTCTTATCTCCATCATCTCCTTTGTTGTTGTGTTCTTGAGTTGAGATTATTGAAGAATCTAAGCCTCTCATACATTATCTTCTAAAGAATTCGAAATTGTTCTTCAAGGATCTTCGAAGATTTTCGAATTTTTTAACTCCTTTCTTGAACCCTCTCCTACAAAAGTTATTTATTTTTTTATAATAAGCTTATTACGTTGGTTAGTACCAATGAGAAATCACTTACTTACCTTTAAAAAGATTAACGTATTGAAAGGGTTGAGTTGAAATCGAACTTAAAATTGAGTTACAAATTTTTTAATGGTAAATCATTTTGAGTATGACAAAAAATATTTTTCTTAAAAAATGTTATTTACTTTTTATTTAACAAAATAATAGAAAAGCGAAAAATATTTTTTGAGATTCTAAATTAGAAATTTTTAAAATTTGTATATATTTATATATATATATATATATATTTAAAATATAATCAAATTTATTTAGTTAAACTCAAATTAGACTTTGCCTTCATTTAGTTAAATTCAAATTAGACTTTGCCTTCATTTGGGAAGTGTGTTTATTTTTTGACTTTTTGACTGTTTTAACTTGGACCAAAAAACTTTGTTTGGTATAATTTTTTTAGTTTTTTTGACTTTTGTGAGAGAAAAAATGAAATGATTATCAATGTGTTTGGTTTGAGTTTTCTGAATTGAGTTTTTTGTATTTTATATTTTTTTAGTGAATATTTTTAAAATTTTAAGCATTTTTTTGAATATTTTTAAAATTTTAATAAATACAAAAAATATAGTGAATTTTTGTTTTTTTTATTTATATTTTTTGGCATTTAGTGAATTTTTTAAAGATTTTTTTCACAAAAATTATAATTTTTAAGTGTATTTATATTAGGTGTGTCTAAGAATTTGAAAAATTGCTTAAAATATTAAAAAAATTTAATAAAAACAAAAAAATATGGAAAATAAGAAAGTAAAATTTTCTGAAAAGTATTTTTTAGAAAGTCCAAACCAAGCAAGTGTATGTGTTTTTTTTTTTTTTTTGAATTAAAAATGATTATGGTTTGAATATGATATTTTGCCTTATTGACTTTCTAACATATTTTGGCCTTATTTGGTTTGGCTTTGAGAAAAAGATTTTGGAGAAGATTTTTGAAAATTTTGGGCTATTTTAGGAAGATGATTATAATTAGCTTTTTGGTAAAAAGCTGCTTATAAGCAGTTTTTTTGTGAGAGATGACGTGAGTTATAATCTCACTTCCCAAAAGGAGCCCTTGTTTGGTTTGTAATTTTTCTTAAAGAAATTTTAAAATCACTTTCTCTCTCCTACACATCAATCAATAACTTTTTCTCTCTCATCTATTCTTTTCAATAATTTTTTCTCTCACATACATCTACTCAATTACAACAAAATATCAAATCATCCCAAATTTTTAAATTCAAAACTATTTTCAAAATATACAACCAAACAAACTACAAAAATTTCTAAACTCTCTTAATAAAATATTTTTTAAAAATGTATCTCCCAAAATCAAACCAAACATGACCTTTATCTTTAATAGCTTCCCACTCACATGCCAAACATAGGCTTTGACCTATTGGCTTATTTTGAGAATAAGGTTAAAAGTTTGTTTTTTGTTTTTGTTTTTTTTTTTTGTTTTTGGACTTTTTTAAATCAAATCATCTCTTAATTTTTTTTACACAATTTTTTCAAAAAAAAAATCAAAGAATCCAAAAAATGAATTTTTAACCTACATCTCAAAATAATAAGGGCTTGCTTGGTTTGTTTTTGGGAGAGTTATTTTTGAAAAAAATTTAGGAGAATTATTTTAGAAATTTTTTTGGTTTGTTTGGTTGTATATTTTGAGAGAAAATTTTTTTGTGGGAGTTTGGGTTGATTTGACATTTTGGAAGAATTAAGTAGATATGTGTGAGAGAAAAAGTGATTGAGAATGAGAGAGGAAAGAGAAAAAGTGATTGATTGATGTGTAAGAGCATCTCCAATGCACTAGGCATATAATACTTGTTAGTTAAAATGCCTAGTGTGATTCACTTTTTTCAATTCCAATGCACTAGGCATATGATTAGGCATTTTGCCTCAACTCATATTCACTAGCTACATGTAGCTAGCCTTCAATGCTAGGCAAAATGTATTCAATCACTAGGATCATTTCCCTCCATCTTTGTTGTTGACGTGGCATTCTATAAAATTAATAATATTTGGATAAATAGCTAAAATAAAGAGCATGGTTGGAGTAAAAACATAAAACAGTCGATAGGCAAAATAAAATATATACTTTATAGTAATATTTAGATAGGTAAAATGCCTATTACCGTTGGAGATGCTCAGTGATTTTGAAAATTTTTTAAGAAAAATCTTAAACCAAACAATTTTTTGAAATTTTTTTTCTAAAACTCATCTCTAAAACTCAAACCAAACAAGCCCTAAATCTTTCGACTTCATTTTTTTATCTTTCGAGTTGGGCCGGAAAACATCTAACCCAACCCAACTTATCAGAGTCACTTAGGTTATTTGAACTTATATAAATAAGTATACTTTTTGAATTTTTATTGAAAGATATTTAAAAAAATAAAGAGGTAATATGACCTAAATAAATATATTTATCTAAATAAATTCACTTATCTATCATGCCAAACAACTATAAATGTAGTTTTTCAATTAAAGGGCCCGAATTCTATAAAAGTTCAGCCCAAATCCCAATTAACGCCATTTCGCCCTAGATTGGCCCAATTGACATTCTTGATCAAAGCTTGTTGAGCTTTGTCTTCTCTTCGCTTCAACACTCTCGGTCCACTCCATTCGTAGATTTGGGAGATCGTTTGCGGCTTAAACCCTCGAAAGGTAATTCTCATTTTTGTCTCTGATTTTCTCAAATTCTACCAATCTATTTTTCACTTCTCTATCCCGATCTACCTTCCAATTCTCCCATTTTTTTTTATCTGTAAATTAGGGCTTGAGATTCGAAGATTGGTATTGTTTTATCGTTGTTCGTTTATAGATTTGAATCTGTGTCGCACGGAGTAGATTAAATGTTATCTTATTATCACGAGAATTTGCTTGTTTTCAGGTGACTCCAGTGAGCTTCGTTGCACTTTGCTGATCGTTTTCTCTGCAATTGCTATGTGGGTATTGCATTTTTAATTCTATATTTTTGTAAACATTACTAAAACATTGTCAATAAGTAACAAGTTACCAACACATCTAGCAATGTTGATTTTTCTTTATGGGTCTTGCAAACAAATGTATGTGGCACAAGAATAGACACCCCTCCCTCCCAAAAAAAATGTGAAAATGCAAGACATTTTTCACTAATTTCAAAACAATTTTTTTATTTTTATATATTCATTTTCATTTTATAAATGTACAATTGCAAATGGTATCCTGAAATGCATCGGTACCGTACAGATAACAAAAACAGATATGGTGGCTGGTATTGTACAATATTAATATGGTATTAAGAATCCTCTTTTGTGGATGTGCTTTTAGTTTTCCTTTGTATGCATCTTTTGCACAGAGGTTGTTCCCTGCTGGCATTTTTCTTCTCGGTATTATTCTTGTAGAATTTTACTTACCAAAGACAAAAAAAATAAAAAATGCTATGCTCATAATTCATATAGCCCTTTTGTTTTCTTTGTAATAAGTATATGCATAGCCTAAACTTAAGTTTATAACTGATTCGTTCCTTTTCGTTATCTATAACCATTTAGAAAATCAGCTATCTGCTTTTCCATTACTTGTTTAACTTCTCACGTAATGTAACTTGTATCAGCTGAAGTGTTCACAATTTTTCCTCTATATTAGGGCGGATGAGGAACTTGTTGATCAGAAGAAGTACTACGAAGAATCTTGCAAGCCAAAGTGTGTAAAATCTTTACTCGAATATCAGGTGCTTTGCAAGCTCTTGAAACTGGAATTTCATATGTATAAAGTTTGTAGATATGCATATCTGATTTAGTATTTTGAAGTTTGTATTATAATGCTTTTCTTTTACTATTTAGCTCCTTTGGTTCAATGAAAGTCATTTGAGCACCTTTGGCTCTCTATACTTGGTTCATCATGGTTTACTTAAAACTCATTGCTGCATAGTTTTGAACATGTAGGTTTGTAGTGCAATAGGCAGGCATCATTCAGTATTAACAGAATGAAATTTCAAATTTATATGGGGTAAAAAAAAAAAAGAGAAAAAAAATGGAGGCTATATAGAATTATTAAATCATCAATTTAAATCCTAGAATGCTTGACAAGCAAATTGTCTGTATACAATAAACAAAACAGTTCAACTTTATAAATCATGTACTAGACAATGGACTGGTTTCATGTTCAAGGCATTTTCTTTTGTATATGTTATGTCAAACTGGCATGAAGTTCACAAATATGTAGTTTTACATCACCATTATTGAAGTTTCTTCGTTCTTGCAACTAAGGCTTCATTTGGCACCGGCTAATAAACCATCTTATTGGCTAAAAAAACTCGTTCTGCTAAAAAAAGCTAACTTTCGTTACTCTAACAAAGCAATAGAAAAGTAAAAAAGTTGTGAATATGCCAAACCAACTAGGTTTTTTTAGAATTAGCTTTTTGTTGGTTTATTTTCAGTCAATAAACTAGTTTATTTTTAGTTATTTTAAACCTATATTATTTGACACGATCTGGATGAGATACCTTAATGTTTTAATTTTGGTGTCTCAGTTAATTCTTAGGCGAGACATAATAAGATGATGCAAGTAGCAATGAATAAAACAAAATCATGGAAAGTATGAAACTACAAAAAGAAACAAAATACTTTAAAATAATCAACATAGACACTATTACATTTCGCTTTGGTAATAAATATACAATCAAGTGTGTTTGTGTTTGTGGTTCAAATTAAGCTAAAGGGACTATATTAATTATCATCATTGTTATCATCCATTTCTCATCTTCGAAAACCTTTTCAGCATCACACGTCCATTCCTCACTGTCACTTTGAACGGTGCAGATATATCAAATACATTGCCTAGCTTTATCTCTCAGCCACTCATTCCAACCCTATCTCTTTCTTGCTACACTATTGTCTCACAGACATCTCTCTCTCTCTCTCAACCATTCTCTCTCAATCCTTTCTCTCACACTCTCTCATGATCTTCGGCGAAGGAGTAATGATCTTAGATTGTGATGGAGGTGATGGAGATCTCGGTGATCTCATACAATTGCTCTTGGGGATCTGGGAAATCTATTGATATTGGGTTCATTGTGGTGGGGTTCACAAGTTTGGTTGGGTTTATCATGGTAGGGTTTGCACGAGATTGAGTTTGCATGTTCATAAGTCCGTCATAGTTGGGTTGATTGCAAATGGGTCATGCCAACACAGGCTTGTGTCTTTGATTGTCAATTGTTTTTTGTTTATGCTTATGCTTTATGATTATTGATTTCTTCCCTTTTCAGTAGTTTTTAATTTCTGCTTATGCTTTCTAGTTTGTAGTTTTTGTGTGGTCTCTCTCTCTCTCTCTCTCTTGTGAAATTGCTATTTGTAGTCTTCTTTGAGCTTGTTGATTTCTTGTTCCCATATTCGGCACAAGGTTTGACAATAAATATTTTCTTCCTTTTTATTTATTTATTTGTGTTATTATTATTATTTTTTTGTATGCATGTCTGTGGTGGAGGTGGTGATTGGGCGGGAGGGGTATTTATTTATTACGCATAATTATGTGCTTTTCATTGCAACATTTTAACTTTTTTTCAGCTTATGATAGGGTGTTATATTATGACCAACAGTCGAAATGTCATGGACTAACTAGCTTCCTCTTTAGGCTCACTTCTGCCCTGCTATTTGGATGAGTAAAGTGTTGGGTTTATTTTTAAGAGGAGATTATCTTGTATGATATGTTCCATCATCTTTGCATTCAATCAAAGTCATATGTGGTCAATTGATTAGAAAAATTCAATTAAAACTAGTCATCCATGACTTAAACCATTCAATAAAATTTTTGGATTGTTTTTCTACTTCTGATTTTTGCATCTTTCTAACCTAATATTTGCCGGATATCTTCATCTATGTTTCTTTTGGCATTTCTTATTTTAGTTACCTATGGAGTTATTGAACCAATCTTGTCTCATCTTTCATTTCTCTTAGAGAATGGGGGTGTTTGGCAAGAAAAATTTTAGCTTCTTTTAGGCTAAAATTCACAAAAAGACAAAATAGGTTAAAATATCTAGTAAGACAAAATGTCACATCAAATTCATAATCATTTCACTTTTTCTCTCACAAACATCATATCCAACTACAAAAAATCCAATCATCTTCCCAAACACAAAAATTTTAGCCTACTAAAATAATAACTTCCCAAATATTCACAATGTACGGCTGCATTTCTTGCCTAAAAAATGTGCAGCATGTTGAGAGTTGTCAGGAGTGCTGCCCCCATTTCCTTTTCAAATCCTTTCCCAAATTCATGATCCAAACGCAAATTGGAAGTGTTAAGAGCTTTGTGAAACAGTTACATAGATCCTCTAATTGGCCTTAGTTTGAGATAATTGTTCTTTGTTGTATATCATTTTTATCCAGTTGAATTGCCGTTTGTCCAAAATTATTGGAAAAGTCATTGTTATATTCCTTCTTGTCTTGTGCCTTTTAATTGTTACTATAACCTGTTGTTATATGTAAGGCAAATTTTGTCCTGTCCAAAATTCTCTTTGTCATGAATAAAATGCTGATAATTTGCTTGTCACCACAAGTGTAGCCTAGTCTTTCATTCATTTTTTTGCGCCAATATGTTGCATACCTAACTTAACAATACAATTGATTGCAAGTTTGGAGCGCAACACTGTGGTTTTCAATGTCATAACTCACTAGCCTAACCTTGTTTAGCAACATTTGTTTCTGAAGTATTTAATTTGGGTATTTTTAGAGGGATTAGGACAAGCCAACCAAGCTGGGATTGTGTTGTTTGAGCCTGGCTTGTATACTGGGTGGAGCAGTAATCAAAGCTGTTGCTAACCCCAATTGATATCTTTTATGTAGGCATGTGTTAAAAGGATCCAAGATGATGATTCTGGGCATAAGCATTGCACTGGACAGTATTTTGATTATTGGTCTTGTGTTGACAAATGTGTAAGCTCCTTCTCTCTCTCTCTCTCTGCACTATATTTTAATGATATAAGTAGATTAGTTCAATTTCCTGTCTTTGATTTTATACTGAAACCGCTCTGGAACACAGGTTGCACCCAAGCTGTTTGTGAAACTGAAGTAATGAGGGGATAGCTTTGTTTTCATGTCGCTCTTTTGTTCTTCAACCAGACATCTCGTGGATTGTGTCTTTTGCTGCAAACTTTTAATGTTTGTATGTTTACTTTTTAATCAGCTTTATGGGAGACCTTTGAGTTAATAATGACTTTTGTGGATTAAAATTGTTTTACTTGGATTTTAATGTTAAAACAGATCTGAAATAATAAGAAAATGTGTTGAGACTTTTCATTATTGCAAAAATGAAGTTAAAGTCCCATGTGCAGAGCTGAATACCTATACAAAAACAAGTTCGTGTGAATTGTTTTGAGTTTGTAGAATTTCATTTACTATGGGTTTGAATTTTGATTTGAGTATGTAACATATGGGTTTGAATTTTGATTTGAGTATGTAACATGCAAACAACACATTGATAACGTGATATGGAAAAAAAAGAGGTTGAAATTGTGTTTCATGTTCTGTTGTTCATCTCTCTTCTCTCTCTCTCTCTTGAATTCTGGCTTCTTTAGAATCTAGCTTAAGGTTGAAACTAGCAGGGTCACAGCAGTGACCTTGGATCCTTCAGGCAGAGGCTAATTATACTGTACCCTTATTCAAGTGTATTCCAGTGTGGTTTGGCATCCGGTTAAGGAAGTCAATTTTTGAGGGTCTTTAATGATACATACTTTTAAATTTGTCAATTTTTTTCCGGCTCATTTAGTGTAAGAAGTCAATTTTTGGGGGTCTTTAATGATACATACTCTTAAATTTGTCAATTTTTTTCTGGCTCATTTAGTGTAAGAGAATCTAAAAAGTGCGAAAACAAAAATTTTAAAAGTCAAAAAAACTATTTTTGGTTTTTATTTTGTCTTTGGTTAAATTTTCCTTTTTTTATTTTTTGTTTTGATCTTTCTAATCAAGTAAAATTTAAACGTGTAAGAATTTTTAAATTTTTAAATTTTTTTTACTAAAAATAAAAATAAAAACTAATAAAAAGGGTGATGTGTTTGAATTTACTTAATATATGTGGGTTACGATTGAGTATATTAATTTATATGGTGAGGATGGGTTTACAGTATAATATACATTAAAATTTATATTCTCTGGATGGATTCATGGAAAAATATTTTTCCAATAGTACGATTTAGTCATGGTGTATAATTGTAGAAAAATGTTTGGTGGCCACAAATTCTGTGGCTCAAATGGTCCGAAACTGTCAAAACGACGTCGTTTTGCACCCAAAATGACGTCGTTTTGGGTGTTTTGAGCCATTTAAGCCACAGATTTTGTGGTCTCCTAGCATTGATGATAATTGTATATCTTTTAACTGACAAAATGTCTTGCATTAATTATGATGGCCTTTCGATGGGCATTGGCTTGAGGGCTTATGGCCGTCCGATTACGGATTGACACTAGTTTCATGGTAGCATGTTATTTTATTTTTATTTTTTTGTCGTAGGACTTGGGTTATATTTAGGCTTCGTTTGGAAAGTTGCTATTTTAGTAGGCTATTTTAGTTTTTGACTATTTTAATAGGTTAAAATTTTTGTGTTTGGGAAGATGATTGGATTTTTTTATGGTTTGATGTGATGTTTGTGAGAGAAAAAGTGAAATGATTATGGGTTTGATATGATATTTTGTCTTATTAGCTATTTTAGCCTATTTTGTCTTTTTGTGAATTTTAACCTAAATTAGGCTATTTTTTTTCTTCCCAAACACCCCCTTAATGAGGAGGAATAAATATTTGGTCCATTTATTAATAAGTCGGTTTTGAAAATATTTCTTATAATCTAGTTCAGAGAAGAATGATATTTAAGTTTAGTTTCTAAATTTATTTTCTATCTAAGGATGTGTTGTAGTGTTTGGCAAGTTGGTTTGTGGTTAAAATAGCCATAGAAGATAAAATAGGTTATTTTAGCCACAACAAACAAAACATCACATCCAACCCATAATCATTACATTCTTCTCTCACAAAAAAAGTTAAAATGTTAAAAAGTCATTTTCAAACCAAGTTTTTTAGCCCAAGCTAAAATAGTCAAAAAAGCCAAAAAGCTAAAAAATCAACCCACTTCCCAAACGGAGGCTAAGTGAATAATTAGTTGATGATTACAAAAGATATGAAAGAGAATGTTACCTTTAATGTAAGATATATAACGCAGCCGGTAAAATGATTCGAGCCATACCTTATGTAATAGAATCCGAAATGAAGAACCTTGTGGCTAAATAACGTGCTTCTTTAATCACAAATTAAGAACACCCAGCAATGGAGTGATACCACAGTATGAATATCACCCACTCTATTTACAATGCAAAGGTTGGATTGTTTTTCATGTGGGAGAGAGTTAGAGAGAGTATGGAAAAAATGTTATGGGTAAAAAATACATAACATATTTGATGTTCTATATATTCAAATATGTAATCAGATATATAACCATATATATCCATCTATCCATATCTCCTAAGGATAGGATAGATGTAGATAAATAGATGATTATCCTAACAAATAGGATAATCAGGAAATCAAATTCAAATTACATGGGTAATTTGAATGGGCCATGCCACATGGGTCCAATACCTGGCCCAATTTCTAACATCTCCTACTCGCACATGAGTTGCATGACACTACCACATCTCTATCTCAATCTCCCTAAATATTTAACAATCTCATATTAGCCAATGAACCATGCGACCGCTGAGAAACACCTGCATGTGGGAGCTCTATACTAGAACTCAAAAAGGAGCCAACATAGAGATATCAACCCGAAAATAAAAATAGTGTCTCATATACTCCAGACCCATCTAATTACACTGGTCCAAAAAACATCTCTAATCCTTCAAAAGAACATGTTTGACTCTCTCAATTCTTGCAATATATTCACACTCAATCTGCCTCTCATACAGAGCGATGTGAGTTGCCGACAGTGAATATACAATAGTGGTGTAATATTAGATGATCTTCCCTTTGCCTTCATGCCATCTAGTTTAGGATTGACCGCTTTCTCAGTGATGTCCTTTAAGGCTGAATGATACATGATTGCAGGCAACATACTAAAGTAACAGAACATCGACCCCCTACCTTATGACATAGTCAAAGGTCATAAAAATGGTACATAAATGAAAATCATATCATATGGTGAGGAAACAGGGATCCATTCTCTCATCTCATTACTCAGTTACCAAGCATATGTAGTATGAATACATGCTACGGTAGAGTAACTCTTCCAAAGAGTAATGTCATACTCGATACATCGTATAGATCTTAGTCTAGTCGCTTTCTAGCACCTAATCTGAATTCTTTATTTGCTCGCCTTCTAGGTGCCAAATGAGATCTCACATTTGGTTAGTCATAACAGACACAACATAGAAAGTGGGTACTAACATCCATGTTTACTCCTTAACACGACCTCATCTATGTAGTAACCAATGCGACATACATAGTGGATAATTTAAGCCTCTCTTGGCTTCAAATAAAAATAAACCACTAGTCTCATCCATGCTCACTCCTAAGCGCCAAGGGCAATTGTTGGTGTGAGTAAGCCAATCTTGCCTGCTGACATCATCATCTGCTAATCATTATAACACAAACCATAATAGTGTAAACATCCCATCATCTCACTACAAATAACTGATTGATTTAAAAAAAAAACACGATAGGTAAGGTCAATGTCTAAGCATAGACAACAGAATCCACCATGTGCGCCTTACATGAAGTGGTTCAAGATCACTACATCTTGCGCAATTACCTCTCTAAAAATATTTTGGTGACCAATCTGCGTTCATTCAAGATGCGCCTAACTAGCGCATTGAATCTTACAATGAGCAAATTAATATACTACTAGTAAAGCATTTTATCCACAGTCTAATGAGTAAGGTCAATGTCTAAACTACTCAGTTGACCATTTACAAAAGATAACACTCATCATGTCGAATACGCCCATATAGCGTATCTCAGGCTCCCATAACAAAAAAGATCACGGAATATAAGCCATCTGTTTCTCCTAAAGACAATCCGAAGATTCACTCAATAGCTAAGGCTCTGGCTTTTACTGATAGGTAAGTCAATGGGTTTGCAATTCTGCATCTAGAATCATTCTAGGATATTCCTTATGTAAGTCATCAAAGACAAACCGGGAATTCTCCTAAAAACAATCCCTAAGGATCGTACATCCGAGCATATAAATTACATCACCCATGTCCATCATATCTAAAACAGAGAACTGCCCACCCTAGGTGGTGACAACCTCATAAATTCCTGGTTCATAATGACTAATTAAGAAAAAACTTCTTTTGGATCATTGATCATGCCTTAGTGGTCTTCATCGATCATCTTTGGCCTATCATGGCTCAACGAAATCTAAGAATCATTATTTGGATAATTGTTTTAGGCTGTAAAAGATTTATTGGAACTAGCAACCTTTTTGCATTCCCAACTTTTCACCATAAAAGTAGAAGGTAAATCCTTACGGATATACTTATCCAATTCTCCAACGAGAAGTTGGGTCACAACATCTACAAATCAATGTTTCGAACTTATGTCAATCATAGCCTAAGTCGAAATAACCTCACTCCCTAGGAGGAAGTCTTCGCATGGTCTACACCTTCCTCAATGGTGCGACTTTTCGGTATCTAACGAGCCTTATGCCTCAACAATGACTATTCAAATTGTGCATAACTTTATAACAGTTTCGCGTCATAATGGAAAGTCAACCAAATTATAGAAATGGTTAATCCTCAAAGACTTTGTCTTAAACTGCGCAACATTGATCTACTTTTTAAAAATAAGGGACTAGAGCCTTTGGCATTATCCTAGACTCTTTATCATCTTGAGGAGCAATCATGAATGTTTCTCTCTCAATCACCGAGTGACGACGTGGAAAATTTTCACATTCACTACTACGTAACTAAGAATGTAGAGTATTCTTCTCTAATGGAGTAATCTATTAGTAGGCACATCGCTTCCACTGTCCCTAGGATATTGGAAATTTCTTTCCATTCTCAATTAGGCTGCATAGAGCGCTATGCGTAGAATTCTCTATCATATAGAGTTCCAAAACTCTATTTACGTCACCTTTACTAAGAAAACTTTATGTGACTTAATTACACTCCCACAAAGTTGCTTACTTATATGCACATGACCCGGAGGGTTTACATGACAGTTTACAATAATGCGTCACATGACCCTAAGTGTTTACAAAACAACATACAATAATGTGCCATAGAACCCTAGGTCTTAACTTCACAACCTTATGAGAAGTAAAATAAAGATAAGCTGCTTAACGGTTACAGATTGGCCATAGATGGCTCTCCACTAACCCGTTACTCAAATGGATTGTAAAATCTGATATGGAAGGCACTT